CTCTCCAGGGAGGACGTTTTTCTACAAAATCCTTGTGGGCCAGCAGCAATATATTTGGAATAACGGACTTTGCATGAGCAAGAAGGGGGATGTGCTTCCAGAGGCGGAGCACCAGAACGCTGAGCCGACCCCAAGCTGTGCTCTAGGGCCCGCTGGACAAAGCAGGGCCGAGAGGAAGGTGTTCTGGGATGTGCTTAGCCCTCTGTACCTTCACATTCGCAGCCGCCTCCCTTGGCTCTGTTGGCCACAGCTGCAGTGTAGGACCTGGCATCCAGAATCAGCAGCTTCTGAGGAGTTCCTGCGTTCTCCACGCCTGAACACGCGGTCAGGGATGAGTCTGCAGAGACAGGGACGGACTGAGCTCCCGGCACTTCTCCTCCCACGAGCCCAGAGACCCATCCCTCACACCCCAGTCCAGGTGTGGCACGGCCCCGATGATCCGTCTGGATACCGGGCTTAAACCTCGCATTGTAACAGCCCTGTTGGCAGCAGCAGCGGCAACACCTACGCGTAGGAAGCACCAAATAATTCACACATTGAGGAGAGAGGAGAAGGGAATAAGCTGTCTCACCGAAGTCGGCATCGCAGGCCTCGCTGCCGTCGCAGCTCCCGCTGTGCGGCACGCCACCGGGCACCTTTACTCCGGGGTTCAAGGCACAGGCTTTGGCAATGGACGTCACGAGATACTCGTCGTCCGCGTTGCGCCAGCCCCACCAGCTGATCTCGGGCTGGCTGCAGCGGGCGATCACCGCCCCGTTGCGCACGTGTCTGCAAAGGAAGCGAGAGCCGAATGAAGGCCCCCGGGGAGGGGAGCAACAACCCCAGCAAACTTCACCTCCGCGCAGCCAGCACCTGCGCAACCCTCCTCGCTGCTTTACCCCCTGCATTTACTCTCACGCTCCAGCGGTGGAACAGGGCAGGGCATTTCAAACAACCGTTCTTCGTAACAAAAGCAGCGAGACGGAGGCCGTCACTCACTCGCATGGCAGCGGTGGGGAACAGGAGGCTGCTGCGAGCAGCGCGGGAGCGGCTGCGGGAGCTGGAACGGCGGGCAGAACGAGATGGCGGAGGAGCAGGTGGCTGCCGCGCTCGCAGAGCGGCCGTGGGGAGCAACCAGGATCGGCGGGGGGGCCCCCGGGGCCCGGCCCCACACCCACAAACTCTGCAGCAAGGGAGAGCTGCCAGTTGTTCTAGCCATTGCTCTACTGAACTGGTTTTATTTACACTCATACATAAATGTATGTTATTCTCTATAAATACATAAAATCTATATAATATTGTATATAGATATGTTAAGTTTTATATATTAAACTAGGGAGGAGAACCTTTAAATAATTGTGCTTGTACTTTGAGAAAGTAATAGTTACTTATTTTAATACTGTTCTGTTCTCCCATTCTTTTTCTTCTTTTTCCTCCCTTAAAGTACATACTGGTAATTAAACCATTTCATTTCTCGCTTCTAAGTTAGAAAGATTGGCTCGCTTGGCATCAGACCGGCTAGCTTCTGGGTGGAGGCCTGAGCTGGGGTTTATTAACTGCCCCTAAAATGTGAACCCTACCCTGGCTGTTGCTTACTGATGCCTGGCAGCAGGCCTCAATTAGGAAGAAGCGTTCGTTTTCCACACGAATGTACTGGTCATGTCACTCACAAATGGCCTGGAAAGGGAACGGACGATTAGGTGACAGCGTGGCTGGTGATACAGAATTATCCAGGAGAGTCTATGGCTGGCTGGAAAAATTGCAAAGGATCTTGTGATACTGGGTGATAGAGTATGAAATTTAGTATTAACAAATGAAAAGTATTTACAGATGATTGCTCAAAAAGTAACCCCAGCTACGACATGGAGCAGCTAGGTACAAATCAGCTGCCAAATCTCAAAGACTTTGAAGTCACTGTGGAGCTCTCAAAAAGCCTCAGCTCAATGCCCAAAAGAAGCAAAAAGAACGTGCTAGCAGTTGCTCAGAAAAGAGTAAAAGAGAAAACATTACGGCACCACATCTTACGCATCTTCCAAGGGATTTCCCACTAACGCATCTCAGAAAGGACACGGTAGGACTCAGCCCTCCAGAGAAGGGTGGCGAGGACAACCAGAAGCAGAGGACAGCTTTGCTGCAGGGACACCTTCAGTCCGAAACAACTTTCCACCATGGCAGAACAACAAGAATGGATGAGAGGCATAAAAGGTCTTGAACTATACAAGAAAAGTGAGTTTGGAAGATCAGTCTTATTTTTCCCCAGCAGAAACACAGATGGAACGGTCACACCACACATCTAAGGAAAAGCAGCAGTATTTTCTGGACAGCAGACACAACAGGCAGCGGGCTCGCTGCCACAGTGCAACGCAGAAGTATAAATTGGTTCCAAAACAGATTAAATTCATGGAAGGGGGGTCCACCGTGGGACCATGAAGCACAATCACACGTTCTCCTGAATACACCTTGTAGGAAATCTAAGATATCGGCTGCTCCAAAGATGCACCAGGGCAGAACACCTGCACACCTCTCCCATTTGTTACACTTCCCTGAGACGCTGCTCCTGGTGCTTGGCCCTTGTCGGAGTCAGGATAATAAACTGGAGAGCCCCGCACCTCGGTCCTTCCCAACAGCCACGCCTGCCCCTCCCCATCCCACCACCCCTCCCGCAGCACCTTGATGAAGGTGAGCTGGAGTAACAGCAAAAATGCAGGTAAAGCTCCTGACAAACCACATCCAAGTATTATTTTTTTGTAGGTGGACACCTCTGAAAAAGTTGTGTTGGTGGCCAGCTGGGGGAGACGATGGTCTGATCCTACAGCGCAGAGGCCTCAGCTCATCCCTCCAGGGCTGTTTAGCTGCAGGCAAGGGCTGAGAGGAGCACTCCTGAAGGGCTCTCATCCTCGTGCTGCCACCCTGTCAGGGGCTCTGTTCTTCCACAGAGAAGAATGTCCGTTCGTTTTACCTGGGCTCAGGCAGCACACCAAGAAAACGCACCAAGGCTTTGAGCTCCTCCTAAGTGGCGCACGGCATCCCACCAGCAGCTCCCACGGTCTGCAGGAACGGGTTCGCTTCTCCAAGACAAGGTCCCCTCTTCTCCTGAGGCAACTTCTCATCAACGCAGAAAAGGTATCATCGTTCGTGACCTCTCATAGATAATACTGATGAAGACTTCCAAAGGAATAATATTCACACTCAGCTGAGTCAAAATACTGCGAGGTCCTTGTTCTCCCGGTGCACTCCACCGCTGTTCTGTTCTGCAAGGTGACTTACAGAGCAGTCACTCCCAGGAGGTCTCTTTCTCTCTTCGAGATCACGGAAGGATGGTTAAAGCAGACAGCAGCAACGGCTTTGTTTAGATCAGTAAATGAAACGGAGCCAAGGTGTGGACTCCAGCACCGGCCTGCGATCACCCAAGCCTGTTTGTCAGCACGCCCACAGCTCCCGCCCTGTGCCAGCACCTTCCCAGACAGCGCCCGGGCGGGTTCTGGGGACAGGCAGGTGCTGTGCTGGGGAGGGCTCCCAGCAGGCTGCTCTGGCCTGGGGTGAAGCGTGGGGAAAAGGAGCGTAGTTGTGTAGGCCACTTGAAATCAGAGGTAGCCTGCGCAATGCCACACTGCAAACATTGCTGGAGAGTCACGTTGAATTCAGAAAACTTCTTGGTAGCACAAACTTCTTGGTAGCACAAACTTCTCGGCACTGCAACCAACGCCGGGCAGGGGACGGCCCTGAGGCAGCGACGTGCCAGCGAACACAAGGAAACATGGCCAGCATCGACAAGCACGAACTCATCAGCAAGCAGAGAGCATAGCAGGTGCCAGCGGCCGAACCAGAACCCCAGCTGAGCTCGCAGTGAGCTTCCCAGGTCAGGGCAGCGCCCACAGCCTGACTGCGTCCTCCAGCAAATCTCCCCAGCGCCAGCGCACGAAGCATTTCAGGTCTTTTCTTACTGGGGGTTTTTGTAGAGATTTTTCTCAAAGAAAAAAAACTCCTTTCCAGAAACTGGAATGGCAGAAGGAGGTGCCACAGTGTTTCAAGTTATGTGGACAAAAATCCTTCTTAGGGATCCTCCATTTAGTTTTAACGATTTGAGACACTTTCAGAATCCAAAGCTGGAGCACTAGGTGCCTCTGCAGTTTATCAGTCGAGCTTCTACTCCTGGATCCACTGAGAGCACAAGGCCAGAGCACATCTGATGTTGTCGGTACACGCCACTTAACCCACAGCAATCGTCCAGAAAGCACCACCTAACATCTCTCAAGTCCCCTCTCTGCTGTTTTCGGGCCGTAAGACTGCCCACCCACAACGCCAAGTCACACAGCTCAGCTTAAAACACAAGAAAGAGCCGAGAGAGGGTTCACAGAGCTGCCAGCTGAAGGTTCCCAGCCGAGACGCGTGTATGCAGGCACCTTCGTTTCCCCACTCTCTGGAGCCTTGGGAGTTTAACACTCCCAGCTCGCTCTGGCATGACCTGAAAGCCTGGGGCCAAGCGCTCAGCCGTGAGGCTGGAGCAATGTCCACTGTCTGCCCGCTGCCTCCCTGGCAGCCACCGCGGCACGAACACCGGCAGCGGGGACGCCGGGCGTCTGCGAGCAGCTCTCTTGCTAACGTGCTCCCAAGGTCTTCTGAAGGTGGCTGCGCAGACACTGAGTAAGGACGAGGAGCGGCTGGGACACAATGCCCGTCTGCCTCTGTAGTCAGCTAAATAATTAATTGCATCCTTTGCGTGGTTTTTAAAGTGAATCGTGCCTGGAGGCTCCTGCATCTCTACTGTGTGTCTCCAGCGAGGACTCAGAGATGGAGATCCGAGTTTCTGCTTTCCCTAACACCCGAATTATACCTATTGTAAGAACACTGACAATGTGGTACCTTTGGCGTCACATTTCACAGTTCTGACCGTGCCCTAACAAATTCAGCCTTGATCTCCCAAAGCTCTGATGTCTAGCAGACTGTGGTTACCGAGTCCCTGAGATGCAGCACCTCAGCCCTTGTGTCCACTCTCTCTCTAGGAAGTTCCATCTGAACATGAGGAAGAACTTCTTCCCTCTGAGGGTGACGGAGCCCTGGCCCAGGCTACCCAGGGAGGCTGTGGAGTCTCCTTCTCTGGAGATATTCAAGACCCGCCTGAACAAGGTCCTGTGCAGCCTGCTCTGGGTGACCCTGCTTTGGCAGGGGGTTGGACTGGGTGATCCACAGAGGTCCCTGCCAACCCCAACCATTCTGTGATTCTCCTGAGCTATGAGTGAGGAGGAGCCGAGCGTGCGGCTTTCCATCCTTCCCTTCCCCTTCCACACAGCACAAGGCACTCCAGAAACAGCCATGGTCCTCACGGACCCTCCTGGCCAAAAGGCTTCCATCTTGAGGGCACAGGCTGAAGACAGCATGAAAATGAGATAGACACACGGGCAAGCACTCCTCCCGTCTTGTAACATCACTTGTCAGCATCTTCTAATCTGATCCCAGGCTGCACAGGGTTGCAGCTCAGCTTGTAAATTACTGGCTACCATTAGAGTAAAGCAAGGAACAAAATAATTTTTAGAGTAGCAAAAAGACACAGCTTTGCCCTGGGGTGGGGAGGCACACCAGGACAGTCTCCAGTGCCAGGCCACTCTTAGCAAAAGCGATCACAAACACAATTAACTTCTTAGCTGACTTGGCTGCAAAGAGGGAAAGGCTCCACACGATAAGCAGCGCTCATTATGACTCTGCTGGAGAATTTAGTTCTTCCAGAAAAAGTAACACACTGTGTTTTGCCACCATCTAACAGCAAACCATGTAAGATGAAGATGTAGAATTAAGGTATGTGAGAACTCACTGGTTTTGCTTCCTGGCTTTTGTACTTCCCAGAGTTGTCCTTTGTTGTGCAGCTCTGATATTTTCAAAGTTTTTTATATCTGGATTTAGTGATTGTTAACACAGAGTCTAAGGCTGGAAACCACAGCATATATTTTGCAACATGCACACCAACGGGGTGCACCTACTCCACCAGCCCCCCATTTGTTTTGAACACGTCGGTCTCCGGAAGGTGTTTAACGAGGAAGCACCCCCTGCCCTGCAAAGCCCTGCTTGATTTGCTGCCCAGCCTCCTGCAACCCCCCGTACAGACGATTTTTGGAAGGCTGACCAGGGAATATGTAACAGCTGTCGAATCAAAGTTCAGCCACACGCAAACATTTCATTCTGTTACCTAAATGTTGTCAAACTCTCAGAACTTGGGCAAAGCAGCAGCGATTTGCACTTGGGTATTAGAAGATACATCCAGGCCCGAACACCTAGCTGAGAGCAGGGCCATGGCAGGCTCGTTTTGGCCAAGATTCCTTTTCAAAACAGCAGCTAGGCAAGTTCCTGCTGCATGTCCCATAGGAGGGAAGTCACCCACGTCTTCAGATCTAACCGAAAGCAGGGAAGAAGCAACAGTTACCGGAGCGCTGCCTCTCCCCTCTGGAGAAGGCCCCGCGCTGCCATGGCACACGGAGAGCCCAGCGAGGCCGACGTGCGTGCCGGGAGGCGGAGGAGCCCTGAGAGCAGCACGTTTCCAGGCAGGAGGCAAAAGGAATAGGCAGTGTGAGGACCAGGATGGAGCCATCGCTGTCATCCCTTGCTCCACAGCCCCGTACGCGTGCTCTGCTAACGGGCTTCACGGCGCCCTGCACAAGACGACGAGGTACAGGGCAGCAGTTGTGGGTTCGGGGAGAGCACTGCTTTGGTTTTGCATTTACCTGTACACCACCACGGGGATCCGCTTCCACGATCTAAATGAAGCCACGTTCTCTAGCTCCTTATCGGTGATCCAGACAGGGACCAGCAGCTTCTGGGGATAACTGGAACAAAGCCTGGAAAAAAAGAAAGGACGAAGGCAAGATGAGGACTCAGGAGTCCAAAACCTGCACCACAGAAGCTGTGCAGAGAGAAGGCAGGAGAAGCCCACGTTTCTCCAAACTCAGCACGCAGGACTTCAGCTCTTCCTCTTCATATCTGTCTCAGCACAGCCTCAATGTGAAAAAAGTGACCCAAAAAAATGCTGTCAGGAATGAGAAGACAACCTCCTTCCACCCCAGGCCTCACCTCTGGGCCCATACCGAGTACCCCAGTACTTCCCAAGGGTGCCTTGGGAACATCCTCCGGATTGAAGAATTCATGAGGGTTTAGGGGAACAGCCATTAATCTCTGGGGGGTTTGGTTTTCTTGCAGCACTTGCAATCCTAGAAGCACACAGCTTCTAGTAAACGACGATCTGCCGCTTTGTGCCTTGCAGAAAACAGGTCACCACTGATCAGCTTTACACATTTCTCTGCAAGGAAGACATCGCTCTGCCAAGAAGGATGGCAAGGGTGATTCTGTGTACACTACAGTAAAATGACATGAGGGAGAGCTCAAAGAATATCTCGCTTGGTGGGGTGCCAGAAGACCAGATTCCTGATACGCATCTGGACAAACGCCAGCGGCGAGAGGAACGCGATGGGCAAGTCCCCACCAATCCGGTCCCCTGGGAAGAAACGCGCGGCGTGCACAGCTAACGGCCGGGGACCCGACCCTTCAGCGAGCGGAGCTGCAGCGCCCACGGAGCCCCACGTCCCCGCGAACCCGAAGCGTAACGCAGTTGGGCTGAACTGGAACATCACCTGGGGAGGGCGGGGGAGATGAGAAGAGGCAACCAGATTGCGAACGCTTCAGTTCCAGGAAAAATGTTAAAAATCCAACTGCAAATGCATTAACAGCAGAGCAACAGGGGAAGAGGGGGAAAGCCAAACAGCCTGCTGCGAGAAGGGGAGAGCGCAATACGAGTAAAACGAAGCGCAGGTAAAAACCCAGGAGCGCAGGGGCCTCCTGGGCACTGCGGCTGCTCGCAGCAGATGACTGCACCCAGGGCAGGTCACGGGCTCCAGGGACAGAGCACGGCCCGGGGGCTGGACCCGCTCAGCTCCAGCAGCCCAGGCAAAGCTGTGCGTGGCAAGGAACATCAAAGAGCAGCTCCAGCTCTAGGCTATAACCCACATCACTTAGAAGGAATGTTTCAGGGCAGGTGGGAAGCAAACTGAGGGGGATGAAACCATCCAGCTGTAAGCTCCAGAGGGTGGCCGGGTGCTCCCCCGAGCCCAGGCTGTCCCCACTGATGGTGACAGTATTATTCAGTTTATGATGCCAGTGAGGAACTGCCTGCCACGCTGGAAGATGGCACCTCATACAGCGTCTAGACAGCTTCTCAGAAAGCCCCAGGCAGAATGCAAGGTTGATCTACGGGATAAAAACAACAGGGTGAGGAAGAGGAATCAGGGCGGGATAAAAACAACAGGGTGAGGAAGCAGAATTAAAGCTGTCAGCTGAAGGCCAGGATGTCTGTGGCAGGATGTCTAGGCTTGGACATCCCTGAAATGCCTCAGATTCCATGTGTGAGTTGGTCAGGAAAGTGGAGAAGCACTGAAGTGTGACTGAGAATAAAGGTATGTGGCAGAGGGTTAGCACCTGTTAAAATCTGGAGGAACTTTTGGAATAGTTGAGTCTATACAAGAATGGGCTTCACTGAAAGGAAAACAGAGTCAGTTCCCTGGCACTTCAGATGAAACCTTACGGGAGGTGCCTTCAACTAAATATTGGGGAGAGTCAGTACAGGAGAGGTTCAGGAGCGTATCTTCTAAGAGTTCAGTCACTAAAACTCTGTAGCCTTAGGAAAACAGTAAGACAGAATTCAATAACATTCAGGTAGGAAACAGCACAGCCTGAAGAAGTTTAGCCAAATTTAAGCAGGGTGCATAGAAACAGGCAATAAGGTCAAGCCAAACAGACCTGTGCTTCTAGGCTAGAATTCCAAAAATAAAGTAGAGGAACTGAAAAGCCAGGATAGATAAGTATCATGGCCTAACAGCTTCTTCACAGGAAGATTATTAGTGGCACCCTCAATTTCAGAGTACAAGCTTTGTAGCAAGACCGATACAGGCCAAGTGTGGTGTGTTCCACAAAAATGTGAAGGTAAGAGCGTGAGGCAGAGTCACCAGCACCAACAAGCACTGCAGAGCGCGCACGGACTCAGATCCCGAGCCCAAAGAGAAACAGGCTGGCATTGTGGCCGCGTTACCAACCGCTGGAGCGACAGTAACGACATCCATGAGAGGCTGGAGCAGATTCAGGAGGCTGGGAGGGCAGAAATAGCCGCGGCAGACTCTTGTTCCTTCCACACAAAACGCCTCAGCATCACGACAAGGCACCAGACAAAGGCGACATTGAGATGCAAGCGGCTGCTTCTTGCCACCAGCCAAATAACGCAAAAGTACGTAACTCGTCCTTCGGTCCTAAGCGGCTCCAAAACAGAACAACTGACAAATCATTTGTTACAGTATTCATCACGCAGCAGAACTCCACAAAGTGAGTTTCAGAAAAGTGGGAAAAAAAAAAGCTGGCAAATGACATGATGGTTATTTAACACGCTCTTCAATGGAAATATAAAATGCAAACGGATCAGAAACAGCTGGCAGAGTTCAACACTGAACTGAAGGAGGATTTCAGAAATAAACGGCCATCCTTCAAAGAGGGGCAACGTTTCCAAAGGAGGTGAGAGGAGCCAAACGGGCACCTGAATGGAAAAACAGTAAAAACGAGACACGTTGTGCAGTCTGAGAAACGCCCTGAGGAGATGCAAACTCCGCAGACCTTTTTCACACACCTTGGAGCTATCAGCCTGCTACCGAAGCCGACGGTCTGACAGACCAGCCAGATCGCAGCCGAAAATCCGAACTCCCTGCGCCGGTGCTCAGCAGGAGAGTCCCCGCAGAAGCTGCCAGACCTAACCCCGTTTCGCAGGGGACAAGGCACAAGAAGAGATTCACGTGGATAGGAACGAGGAGTAACTAATCACCAGAACTAGATAACGCTCCACATTTCTGCAGCAACCCAGATGTGCACCCGGTGAATGATTAACGGAGATGTGTAAGCTATTGCTTACACTGGCTTGGGTGCCAGAGGAATGAGAGGTGGCAAACACGGCATCAGGTTTGTAAAAAGGTCTCTGGGGCGAACGTGGGAAACCACTGGAGTCGGACTTCTGCACAAAGCGAGGGACGGCCACACGTGGTGCAAGGGCAAACACCGGGCACTCGGGAAGAGTCAACACGGCTTTGAGGAGCGAGGTCGCGCTCCACCTATGTGGAGGTTGCTGGAAACACGTCTGAACGAGCAGATACACCTCGTGGCTGAGTCGACTTGTTTCAGAAGGGTTTTTCCTGAAATTTTGTGTGTGTGTGTGTTTTGACAGGCAGCTCAAAGACTCGAAGGGGAAGCTGCTCTTCTGAAACAGTCACTCTCAAAAAGATGAACAGCGCAGAACTTCCACGGCCATTTTTCACACCAAAGGGGGTCCCGAGGGGATCCCTGCTTGTCCCTGCGCTGTGCGGCGTGCTGACACGTCACGTGGAAATGACGAGCAGCGAAGTGACACAGCCTGAAACACCCCCGGACCACGCCGACCCAGAGCCCGGGACTGAGCGTTTCTGAAACCGTGAGGTCTGATCCCAGCAGGCGGCAGCTGTGACCACACAACCGCACCCCCCGGCCAGGGAGCGAGGAAGCGGCTTCTTGCCACCACGGTAAGGGCCAGTCCAGCGAGAGAGATCTTCCTCCACAGCATGAAATCCACACACTTGATCACCAACAGTCCCTGCGCTTTCACATGCCAAACACAAGCAAGAACACCAATTCTCACTTTTCCAATAAAAGCGAAGGATAGTACTAAATTCTGTAGAGAATTGTAACAGAAGAAGACAAAATATGAATTATGAGCAGCCACAGAAACAAGTAGGGAACATCAGCTGGCTACACCAGTAACACGGAACTCCACACAGCTTTTTCCTCATAAAGCCAAAAATAAATAAAACCACAGCTGTAAAAAGATCAAAGCTGAAAACGAGCACCAACACTGGAGGCAAGGTGAATGCCTTCTCCCTTTTTGAAGGAACTCCATGTGCACCAAACCCACCAGCGCTCAGGCCGATAGGAAACAGCTCCTGCCTCCGCCAGCACGGCCGCGCCGGCTGGGGAACGCCGCAACGTGCCCACTTCTCTGGGTGCACAGATCCCCGAGGATGCGAGAGCCACGGAGGAATCACGTAATAATTTTATTATCTTTGTACACTGAAATAGTACACTTTTATCAACACCGAAGGAGTGGCTGTTCTATGCTTGTATTGCTCTAATTTTACGATGGCTGTCGCCAGGAAAAAGATAATTGTTTCCAGATAAGGACATCTCGGACCAGACTTGAAAGACAACGAACAAAGCCATTACCGTGGAGTATCCTGTCTCTAACCACACTGTTTTGCCAGTGCTGGGAAATAGAAGATAAAAGGACTATAAACGGTTAAGAAGTAACCCGATTCCTGTGAACAGAGGCAGGTGGCAACGATCAAAAGCCAAGGCAGGATTTAAAGGCACACTCCCCAGAGCAGCAAGGGAGAACTGGTTTCTGAGTTGCACAAGCAAATTACATCCCCTCTAAGGTCTCGGGATGTCTGCAGAAAGCTTCGACCTGCCAGGAACCCCAGGTAGGAGCTCAGCAGATGGAGGAAAGCAAAACCAGGCCCGCATCCAGCTTGCTGAGGTTTGTTTCAAGTTCCTTCTTCCCTGGTTTGGTTGGATAGAAAACATCTGTCTTTCCAGAAGTTGGCTGATCGCTGTGTATTACTGGCCAGGAAGCGAACCACAGATGGTCAGTCTAGGCTGAACTGTCTGAAATAGTCAGAGGGAAGCACATCCCAAAATCCAGCAGCTGAGGAAGCCTGACTGCTCTCAGAGACTCCACCTGGGGCAGGGACCTACAGGTTGCGCGCTCCAAAACTGAGCAGCTCAGGAAAACAGTTTTTATTTGACACCCTTGGAGAAACTGCGTAAACACCATCAAAGTCACGTCAACAGCCTAAAAGCCATGATACAGTCACTATGGCCAAGCAGAAACCGTAGTCTACTGCTTGCTGCCTGGATTCTTGAGGAAGAGGAAGAGAGAAGAGACCAGGCAGCAAACTGCAAAACTGCACGGGGGTTTCCCCAGGCTTCTCACGATCTCCACAAGAAACTGGTGGCCTGGAACTGTCCGATAGCCAGCTGACGGGGATGCCTTTACTGGCAGAGACAGAGGAAGGACTGAGGGATACCAGTCATTTCAAGAAAAGGATTATAGGGAACGGCAAAGAATGCGGCAGCGCTTCTCCGAGAGCTCCCGTGCTCTTCTCCAGGAGTAGAAGACAGGCTGGAATCACTGACGTGCTGGTGGGAAAGACCTTGCAGACATCTCCACTCCAACCTCCCGCTCACAGGGGACCACCTCCAACACTACATCAGCTGACCCCTGAAACGCTGTAATGATGGAGAACCCCCAACCCCTGGGGATCTGCCCCAGCACGGCACCACACTCCTGGGCAACGGTTTTTTCACTCCCACGTCCAGTCTGAACCTCCCAAGCTGCACCTTTTGGCTGTTGCCTCTCGTTCAGTCATCCGCCACTGTCAGAAGAGTTTCACTCCACCGCCTTCGCCAACGCCCTGCCAGCAGCAGCAGGCTGCAAGCAGGTCACCCTCTTGCCCCTTCTGCACCAGACTGAAGCAGCCTCACTCATCCCCAGACGTCCAAGCATCCTGACAGCCCTCCACTTGCTCGCCCCAAGTTTCTCAGAGCTGAATAGTTGCCCAACTTCACAAAATCTTTGTGTTTTTCATTTCAAACAACGCAAGCATTTAAGAGAGGACTAACCAGCAAGGCAACCCTACGACCAACAGTTCCTCCAAGACTCTCGAATGTCCTCAGGGATGAATTACGGCCACCACGTTACAAACTACCTGTGTCTGCATTTACGATTGCTGCTAGCTCTGATGTTTGGGCTGTATTCCTTCTGCAATTCCACAATGCAAAAGGCGCAAAGAAAGGGGCTCTGGCTCACACGCTGATCTGCCTGAGGGCTGCCAAGGCCAGGAGGGTGGATTAGCCGGAGTCTGACTCCGTCACTGCTCTGCACGGGGACCGCGAGGGGAAGGAGGTAAGGAAGGCAGAGAGCGGGGAGGGCCTGGTGGGGAAACACTCACTTGTAATTGTTGTTGATGTCAGAGACGCGCCAGACGTTCTGCAGGTCAAAGCCCATCCTCACCAGCTCCATCTCAAATCGGTATCTCACATGGTCTCCTGCGGAACAGAGCACAGGGTATTTCCTGGCGGCTAAGCAGAACTGATGAAACCGAAACGTGTCAGTGGCAGCTCCACAGCAACCACCACAGGCTGCAGAGAAACGACCGGCCAGCGGGATGGCAGGGATCTCGCTTCAGAAGCCAGCAAGACTTGTCCCTCATGGTGGTTCCTCTGCTTGTTTTGCCAAGTCAGATCACCACTCAGTCTCAGGGCACGGAGCGGCATGGGAACAGCCTTCTCACACCAATGTGGGAGTGTGGGGCGTTAATTTAAACCACTTTTGCCCTTCAGACAGAGACAACTTCCAAAGTGGATGTGAGGAACGCCATGGCAGAGGAGTACCGAGCACCCACCCCAGACTCCGGGTTTGCCCTCTTACGTTTTAGCCTTGCCTTACAAATCCTGGGTGCCTTTGTTGGCTCGAGTCTCTAATCTTGTTAATAAATAAATAAATACTGCAAAGCTCTTCGCCTAGTTCATATCCTGCAGCAACTATTTCCACAGGTAAGTTTGTTTATACTACAGAATAATACTTTCTCTAACGGCAAGACAGCAAATATCTCCCAATTGCTGGTGTCTGGGACACGGTAAGAACACGCAGTTTACCTTCTCTCTGCCAGCTTCTCTCTGCCATCTCTTTCAGCTGTACTGTTCAACCCTGTCCCTCCATCCCAACCTGTGCTCAGCCACTGCATTCAGGCTGCTGCTTCTCTCCTCTCATACTAGCACGTTTTTAAGTCTAAAGCCAGGTTTGTCACTCATTTTAATCCACTTTCATACACCATGAAGCTGTTTGAAGACAAAGCAACCGCGAGTGAACGCTGCGTTCCCAGAGAAGGGAAACCCCTGCTCCACAGGAGGGCACCAGCACAGCTCTGCTTCTTCTCCCCTTACGGAGTCAGAGATTTTATCTGCGCCTGTGTAAGGACAAGCCAGACATCTCCACAGACCGGACCACGAGAATGTCACAGCACTCGTAGGTGTTGGAGAAGAGATGCAGATGGACTCATATTAATTACCCTGCCTCAAAGCTGATGGTGTTTACTATCCAGGGACAAGGCTGCCTGAGCGCTCTGTCATCGTGATGAGGGTACTAAAGCACGGGATGTTTTCTCCTTTCACCAGGAGAAAGCAAAAGCTGCTTATGTGTTGCTGGCTCAGAATGCCCCTCACCGTGCTCATTACCATTATTCCTTTTACTGTGCTCGTTACCACCATTCTGTTTACTGTGCTGGTTATCCAGCCGCATGCGGCCATCAGCTGGATCTCTGGGCCAGGTACAGGATGCCCCTCAGCAAGACGAACTTGGGCTATGGCTACAGCAGAGCTCGGGACACAGCCAGACATCAGATTATGAACAAGAGTTCCAACTGCACTGCCGTGCTTCTGGACAGAAGAGCAGGCAGGGGATGGGCCAGGAGCTCACCTGGACGGCAGAGATGTGCATGCTGATCCTCCTCGTCAACGCAGACTCCCAAGCACCACGCGTGGTAGGCAAACGCAAAGAGGTCCTCAGGCTTAGCAGGGCGGGCGATGGCTCGAGTTAGCCTCTTTAGCCACTCCTGGCACTGCTTAAAGGTGGAAAAATGGCACCTGCAAACCCAAACGTAAGTCATCCTCAGTGGGTACATTCCTCTGGCCCAGATGCACAGACAGGGAGCTCTGCTCCACTGAACCAGGAGAAGGCACAAAGCGCCAAGTCTCGGTAGCTTCGGCCATGAACAGCTCAATTCCTGCGGCAGCACAGCGGGAGACCACAGAGCTGACCACGGCAACTGGCCTGCAGCGGCGTCTACAATACAGCAGTAACAGATACCTGATCACTTTGGAGTCCTTGCAGACGATGTGAAGCTGGAACATATCCCGACACTCCACACTTTCCATCATCCTCAAAGGCACCTGCGAGAGACACACGCAGGGCATGACAAGACGTACCGCATCACACAGCAGCCTTGCCCGCAGGCCCATCCCACACAGTCACGGCTCTACCAGCAATCGTGAGCTCCGAGTTCAAACTACAAACCCACTCTGAGGTTTGCGAAGCTTCATGACTCAGCGTAGAGCCTCATCTGGAGTACTGTGTCCAGTGCTGGGCTCCCCAGTTCAAGAAAGATGAAGAGCTACTGGAGAGAGTCCAGCGGAGGGCTACGAGGATGAGGAGGGGACTGGAGCATCTCTCCTACGAGGAGAGGCTGAGGGAGCTGGGCTTGTTCAGCCTGGAGAAGAGAAGGCTGAGAGGGGACCTTAGAAATGCCCATAAATATCTGCAGGGTGGG